ATTTAATCACACGAGTGGACTTCAAGATGTGATTACCTTTCACTTGGCCCTGCTTCTCCAAAGGTTATTTCTGTCCAGGCTAGACTGGACTAAAGTTTCGACCTCTCAGGGCCTCATCAGTTCCTAGTGCTAGAATCTAACCGTATACTTTCGACATTTTAACCCAAATTTGCTAGTATTATCTGAGGACGCATAGCGCTAATCATGGCACTTGAATATCTGAAGCTTCTTACCATCGCAAACTTCTTCATTTCAATGAACTCACGGCCAAAAGTCAACAAAGTGAAGTAAAGTCACCACTGATCAGGCTCAGGATGGAAAGAAGTCGATTAGGCACTAGCTACTTTACTGATCCGACCTCGTATGCCTTTTAATTCCAGTTCGGAGCTCACACTTCAACCTAAATCGGACCGTTAGTTTTACCGGTTTGCCGACATGAGCTTCATCTGAAATTATCTATCCTCAGACAGACCTTATGAACCCTCGTACCGATGAGGAAAAGATGATTTTTAAGAAATCCCCCAATACCTTAATGCGAGTCGGGTTTTCATTGTGAATGAAAATTTAACTAAAAAGTTTAGTGTATTTGGTGCGTCTTTATTTTTAGTTGCTTGCTTCTCGCTCTGATTATGTCGATTACATGACAAAAGAAAGTTTACCATGGGTTTATTTGAGTCTCATGACGTTGAACCGAGGACTTCTTCACACCCCAAGGCGACCCTTTCCTGGCTTCCGGTGAGACAAATTCACGAATTGCTCCTGGCCAACTTTTAATCTTAAATTAAAATTCTAGTTTCCCTTGTGACATTACCTTTCGTTTCGAAGGAAAAATTAGTTGGAAGAACTAATCGGAAACAGATGGAGGCTTGTCGTGTATGTAAGGCTGTTGAATTGTGTTCATCGTCCTGTGATTCCGATGAAACTATACTAAGCTTTCGTCTGCATTGTGACAAACATCATCAGAGCAGGTATCCATGCTTCACAAAATAGAGAAAAAATATACTAAAGCATGAGAAAAGGTGGCAGGCTGCAGCGCTAGTCGCTTTTTTATACGCCTAACTAGTTTCTCTGTTTTATGACCCCTCGTTCGTAGCGTCTGACATAGACCAAAGACGGGATCCGATCAAGTCGAAGGAAAGTGAACCATGCAAAACTGCCTAAATACTCTGGATCACTTGATAGACCACTTTAGGACAACAGCGTTAATCTTAATCAAGCCCCAAATGCTAAAATCTACGAAAAGTCAATCGTTATTATAACGCAGGAAATGGGGGTGTATTTTCCTATTTATAACTGTACATATTGGTCCTATAAACATGTAGGGGAGTGCAATCATTTGGGCCTTTAGTTAATTGGTATAAATCTTATATGACAACTAAATTGAGAAAATAGCCAATACTTCCTTCGCCTTTTTATTGCTCAGTAAACGGTAGCACATCCTTTGTTTAATACCTTCTTACTTTTTTACATTACACTGCATATTTGGAGCAGACGTTTACTTTGGCCAAATTGTTCTAGTCCCGATGTGTCCCAATTAATCGAAATCTGCTGTTTTGTAGATTTTTGGTTTTGCTATGGTTGAGAGTTTTGTTATATGTAAAACTCAACCAGTTAGCCTACTTAATTTGGCATTAACTTGAGGTTTCTGTAGATACAAGATCCAACCCTGATTAAGCGCACAATTTGATGGAGGAAATCTCAACCCATTTGCTCCAGTACTGAATAAGTAGAATAACTACGTCAAACGATTGCATAAAATGGGAATCAGCCGTCTTCTTCCGGTGAGATCGACTTTCGAAGGTCTTCATCAAGCATTTTCACCACAATAATGTCGTCTCAGAAGATTTCTTTAAACTCAGTTATACTTGATATATGCAAGATCATCTGTGTTCCACCGAATTGTTGGAGGATTTTAGGCATTTACATGGTTACTTTTTTGGATACATAACAAGCGTTTGGAGTACTGGATGCCTTAACTTCTCCCCCAAGCCATCAGTATTTTGGCTTGACGGAGCTTTTCTGAGCATCCCTTTACATTCGGTCTACCCTGTCTTTCTACAGACCGCCTCGATGCCGGCCCGAATGAAATTGTCCGAGTCAGGCATTGCTGATCCGCGTGTAGAGTGTGCCTTTACTAAGACGAAGATGGCCTTTCGACCAGCTCAAACGACAAACACGGTCTCAATGACGTCCACCAACAGAGAAGATGTCTCACCCTCGCGATCGCCTGGCTTGGCTTCCTGCTCCACGGCGACGTGCTCTCTCTCCTCGGTCCTCACCTCGGACAGCTCCGAGGAGACGGACAGCGCCTACGACGGTCCGTACGCGACCGGCTTTCGAAGCCGGTCCATGCCCAAGGGTCGAGTTCGCCTCGAGAAACCGAGTTCGACTCAGGCTCTACACGATCTGCTCGCAAAGCTTTTTCCCGCCCAGCCATCTCTTCAACTTCGCCTCAACATTGAACAGGCGTCAACTGAGCTCGGCCAGTCGGATGCGCTGCTTGACCGGTTGCAATTGCCCTCACTCGGTAGTCATCAGCCATCGTCACGTACCAGCCGACGTTGTAGCGTATCCACCCTCGAGCAGGCCTCGGGTCTACACACTCCCAGGCCAGGCGACGAACTGGCCGAGATGGGCGGCAAATCGCCGATCAACATCGGTCGACCCGCCTTCTGCCAGGGTTCCTTTGACGTGGGGGCGGCCACCACTGCCTCGGGCTCCTGCTCCACCACGACACCGGCCAGCCTCAGCACCCTCTGTCCCGGCCACCTGTACAACTCGGGCTCTGAGCTCAGTCTGATCGTAGTATGTCAACTGAAGCCAAGCAAATTGGCGGTCCATCACTCCGGCTCACTCTTTAATTTGTCTCTGATGCCGACCAGTTGCCATTCGCCAAGTGGGTCAGAGACAGAGACGAGAAATCGTGAGGTGGCGGTACAGGTGTTGCCAAACGAGGGGTCCGAGGAGGTGGGGCAGCCATCCGCTGCTGCCTCTGACCCTGAATCGAGGCGGATCGGGGAGGCGACGTGTCCAGAGGCCAGTAGTGTTGAGAAGATGACTGCCTCCCTCCCTCCCTAAGACTGACTTGGCTGGTACCGACTGTCTTGCCTACAGCAACTTCTCGTACACCCTTCATGTGATCTTTGCAATTGTAAATATGAAGAGAATATAGGACTCTTTGTTCCCCAACCAAGGTTGGCTCTTTTATGCATGCATAAATGTTTGACTTTGATCATAACAAAACAATAATTTCACTATTAACGCTAACTCAGTCTCCTCTCTCTTATAATTCTTCGTTTGGATTCTTAGCCGATGCCTCGGCTAGGCATTCTTTGCCTTTCTTTTCATTTCGTTGCAATGCCATTAAAAAATTCCTTCTGCCTATACCGTTGGAGACTGATATAAAATTTAAGCTGATCATATTCCGGTTATTCTTTACCTGAATTCATCTTCTGCATTGAAATTTTCTTACTCCGCTTCTCTAAGTACTATACTTTCGGCCTTCGACTCATCCAGTCTTCGGATCCCTTAGAAATTGGTCGATTTGTGGGCTAGCGGCACCTACATAATTTACAGCTTATGCTTACACCTCACCAATTACATCAAAAATGGGATCTGAATTGGTTAAAATGCCTACGACTGTTAAAACGGACCACAGCTTCAGTTGCATCCTAAACGAAATCTGAAAATGGATTGTTTGTTTTCAAGGGAACTCATTTGTACTGAGAGCTAGCAGCCCACGGGACAATCATGAAAGTCAAGTCTAAAAAACCAAACTGATGTAAACCCTATTATTTAGATCACTCCACAGATCCGAGTTCTGATGAAACGTTTTCTGCCTCGGTTTTGTCGCTTTAGCGTTTAGTCTATGCATTTTGTTGGTATCTGATTGTTGTGTCAGAGCTGTTTACATCCTAGTTGGCATAAAATGATAAATTTTGTTAAAATTAGATAAGTAAGCCTCACGTTTCCATTGGATTTCACATAGCCTTGTTTTCCAAAGGGTATTTTTGTCCCGGCTGGACTGGACTATAGTTTCACTTTAGTCCGGGTTTTAGCAGCGCCTCCAACAGGAATCGAACCCGCACTGTGATAATGCTGAATACAATTTCAACCTATTACCACCATTCCACACTGCCATGCTTACAAGGCACACTCGAATTTCATGGCAAGCCACGTCTTTTCCACATTAAATTTTTGTAGTGAGATTTCCAACTATTCAAACCTATTTTTTGTCATTAGAAACGGCTGCGTTACTTATATTCTTATGTAGTAGGCTTCGAAATTATCAGTATATCTTTAATAAGAGTTTTAGTTGCTCTAAGTCGCGTTAGGTGATGAAAACGTGATAATTGACTTATTTCCACAACAATATGAGTAGCCCTCACTTTTCCCATGAATTTCATATAATTTTGCTTTCCAAAGGATTTGTATCACACGTCGTAATAACCGCACGCTGGACTAGTTCAGCCGATCATTGAGACAACTATTTGGGTAAAGATAATTTAATCGTAGATATTAAGACCAAGATGGTGTGGCCTTCTATTTGGTCGCAGTCTTTTTTTGCTTAATAATGTTAGTTCGATCTCGCCTTCGCAACTTGGTCGGAGTATTAGGGAGACTTTGTGAAACACACCTAGTCCTGTATCCTCTGCCATAGTATTCGTGATTTCCAGCATCGGGTCTTTGACTTGATACATTCCCAAATGTTACGCAGACATCACAGTCACCATCGTTAGTAAGAGGCACCATCGTTAGCATAGAATTTCAGCTTATCAAAGTGGCAAGTGAAGGCAACCCCCATGAACCATTTCCTGTTCAAGGAAATAAATGTGAACGGGTGAATTGACTAATGGACAATGAATTCACGCCTAGGAATGCATGCAGAAGTCCCAGTAGCCCACGATTTGCTGAAAGTACACAAAGAAAGGGAACCATTTAGACGGATAGTCAGCAACAAACAAGGACCAACATTAAAACTGACGAAATTTATCTACCTTAAATTAAAGAAAGTTAATGACTGATTATCGGATATAGCGAAGAACTCATATTATATTTTCCAAAGAATCATAGTCAGCAGTTTGGTGGGAAATGGATTTCTGATGAAGTTTGATGCACAGACCCTGTACACTACCGCCTCATGAGAAAAAGACCTCACGAAACTACTAAAGATGTTGGAAAAAGAAGATTAAATAGTGGAGACGGATCAGTCCGAAAAGAGTTTCCAACCCATTTAATCAAACTACCATTAAGAACTAGCTATTTTACCCAAAAGGTACGAAGACCAAGATAGTGTGGCCTTTTGTGTGGTCGCAGTCTCCTTTCGTTGCATAGAGGTTGCTTGACTTTGCTTTCGCAATTTGGTCAAATTAGTAGGAAGACTTAGAGGAACCCACCTTGTCCGGAATCCATTGTATGCATAATCATTTCCAAAGTCTGACAGTGGATGTGGTACATTCCCAAACAATTCGCCGGCATCGTCAGTGAGTTTTGCCACTTTTAACACCACACATCAACTTGTCAGAGACAAATCAAGCCGATCCTTTGACCAAACGTGTGCTAAACAGTTGTGCTATCTCCCCTTCTGCCCTGGGCTATTCACA